TTTGGGTTTCTACATCTAAACAATACAACATATAATTGCTCATAAGAAAAAAATGGTTTTCTAAGATATAATCCTAAGGTATCAAAACTCTGACGTTGAGATTTATTGACAGTCATAGAAAAAGATAAGGTAAATGGAAATTGTTTTCTATACAATATAAATGGTAGCAAAGAAGAATTGTTTAATTGTAGGGTTATTCTTAGAATAAATACTTTATTTCCTTTTTTTTCCACCTGTAATTATTTCAGCTTCGATGTTGTATTTAAAAAATTTTGTAATTCGTAATCTTGTACGATTGCAAAGTCCTTCAGATATATGTTTAAGTTTCGTATCAACAGAACAATAGAGTAAATTTTAAAATTTAATTCATGTAGAAAAAGACCTTCTTTACTACTATTTAAATATTCTGTAGTAAAATTATTATAAATGTTATCGTCTGATTTATCTTCTCCTTTGGGAGTTGCTTTATTAATACTATAGTACGTTACTAATGCTCCTACCATATTATTCAAAAATTTTTTTTTTTCAAAATGAGTGTATTCATTCTGAGATGTTTATATAGCTTTACTTATAAAAGAATCATCATCATTATTAAAAATTTTAGAACATACATCATTTGTTTTCCATGTCTGAGGAATTATAAAAGTTTTAATTTTGCCTTCTCCTATATCCAGTAGCAATGAAGAAAATTTTTTATCAATTGAACGTATATTATTTTTTAAATAAAAAATATTAAATAAAGGCCAAAAATTGGAAAATTTTATGGTTTCTTGAACAATAGTAATTTTGCTTCCGTTTTTTACTACTGGGAGAATTTGACGAAAGTCTCCACCTAAAATTATTATTTTATTTCCAAAAGGTTTATTACTACTAGATAAATCTTTTAAAGTCCTATCAACGATTTCTAACGCTTTTTTCGGTATCATAGAAGCTTTATCCCAAATAATTACTTCTACATTACGTAATTTTTGTTTATCTGGCTCAAACTGGAAGAATGCACTTTCTATAGTGCTTAAGTCTAAAGGAAGTCTGAAAGTTCTGTAAGTGGTCATTCCCTTTGGGAGCAGAATAGAAGCAATACCTGTCCAAGCCATTGTAAGAATTTTTTTTTCAATTGATATGAAATAATAAATTAATGTTTTGTATAGAAAAGTTTTTCCAGATCCACCAGGACCATCGATGGAAAATATTTTTTTTTCAAATTTTATTATTTCTTGAAAAATTCGACGTTGTACATGACAGACTTGTGAAAACATTTCATGGAATTTATGTTAACAAAATATTCTTTCATCATTGTCAGAATCGATTTTTTTTTTATCGTTTCTGTTGGTTCTGGTAAACTGAAATCTTTACAAGATATATTTTCAGATTTAAAAATTTCGTTTAAACGTAAAAGAGCTTTATTTTGATCATTTTTACAATCTTCAATAAAAAATTATTTGTATTTGTTCCAAATAATATTACCCAAAAAATTTTCAGACACAATAAACCATGCGAAAAATTTTCGTAGTTGAAAAGACAGCATAACGTTACATGCTTCTTAAAAAATTATATCGTTTTGAAAATCGTGTTCTACTAATCTCATAGAAATAGCTGTTATTATATTAGTCAGGGAAAATAAAAAGTGATTGTTTAAATTTCATGTAATTAATTTTGATAAATATACATTCATCACATATATTAATTTTAAGCAACAATTAATATAATTCAGGTTTTTTTCCATTCTTCGTAAATCTAATTTGCAATTACGGGGGTTGGTGCTCAGAGCGCACAGGGGGCATTTATAGTTTTAAAAGCTTAGAAATATCTATTGACACATACAGTAGAGACAGCTCATTTAAAAAAGGGAGCCATTAGAAGAAATAATAAAGCTTACCAACAAAAAGTCAAGGGCACATCTCTCTGTCTACATAATTTTTACGACTTTTATTTGAAATTAGCAGCTTGTTCTTTATATTTTTTTAAAAGCAGCACAGTCATTATTTCCCAGCGTAGAAAATTTATTCTTAAGTATTTTTGAAAAATGCCATAGTCTTCTGAATTCTGTAAACTATACTTTAACATATTATTTTCATACAAACAATTGATTTTATCATTTTTAAGGCTTAAAAAAATATTAATACAAACCTTATTTCGAAAAAATTACACTTTTAACACAATAAAAGGGGTAGTTGGCACGTGGAGCACGCAGGGGGGTGGAGCTTCACTAGTATATATATATATATATACATATACACAAATATGTAGCATGTGCATGCGTCCATATATGTATTTTATATAGTATGTGTGTGTAAATAAGACTTTTAACTTTAATTGACTTCGAGAATCGAGCTTCCATCTTTTGGATTGATATTCTGGGACCCTACTGATGGTGCCACGCAGCACGCCGATCTGAATTCTTTTCTTATTACACATGGATACCAAGCGAGAAATCTCTGAATTAGAAGATTGATCGATAATTAGGGGTTTTCTACATTGTATCTGAGTCAGTCCACCGATTTTAAAAGAAATTGTTATAATTATTTTTAAGTGGTCTATTAATGTCAAAATTGTGTAGAATTGTGTTTTAAATTACGTTTTGCTTATATCTTTGAACTGTTTGATGTATAGAAAAAACAATAATGCTTACGTGTAGGGCGAAGCATTTTCTATGAATAAGCACTTTTAGTTTCGTTTAGACCAGCGCAAAATAATGAGAAAAAAAATAAAAAATGGATTTTGGCAGAACCCCTGTAATAGTAAGTGAGATAGAGAGAGCCCTTGACCTTCTGCTGTTGCACTTGCCACGCATTTTTATGATTTCTTTTTCTTTTTCTCTCTCTCTTTTTTTCTCTCTTTCTCTCTTTCTCTCTTTTTTTTTCTCTATTGTACTCATACAGGTAGGCCGTTTTTACTCCTTTTTTTATATTTTGCGTTTGTAGTTAATGATAAATTAATGTGAAAATGAGTATCAATTTTCCATCGTTTTTAAAAAAATTTCTTCTTTGTAAACAGGATTATTCTAAAATATTAGTATTTTACAATAATGCAAAGTTTTTCAGGGGTCTTGTAATTGTGATTATTGAAACTTTATCTTCACCCGTCTTTAGTAAAGAGCAAACTAAATTCGCGCACGTGCGCAAGCACGCACAGTAAACAGGTATCTTAAAAGAGACAAAGAGACTCGCAAGGAATCTAATACGCCACGAGCGTTTGTTTAACTAATGTATGAACCTATGTGTGAGTAGGTAGTAGAATATACACTCTTATACATACTCTTTGCCATGTATTATTTTTCTTTCTCGTTCTCATTGTATACATGTTAATGAAAAAAAAATATAAACCTGATTTGCTTTTTTCTAATCTGTAATGTTCACTGATAAAAATCTATATTCATAAACTAACTGTCTTTTTAATAAAAAAATATGAAATAAAGATTATTTAGACTCTAAAAAATAAGTTCTTTTTCTACCTTGCACGTGTGCACTGTGGGCCCATGGTAAGAAAAAATACTTTTGCGACCTCAGACGTTTTTGAGAGGTTGGTGTGCTCTTGGTAAGAAAAATAGGATTCACCACATAAGCGACATTGCTCCGTGGCTGCTTTACGTCCCTCGGGCCGCATAATAGCTCTGAAGACGATGGCACTTGTCTGACGAAGACTACTATTTTTATCTCAGACAATTCGATACTACCAGGTTCAACAACATATTCTTTAATGTTTCACATCTTTCGGGGGTCCCGAGACCCACACCCATTTTTTTATTAAGGCAATTCAGTCTTAAAACGTCACAAACTGCCTTTTGAAAAAGTTAAATGGATAGCAACCTTTGAAAACTTCCCATTTATTTATAATGAGACTAATAAGCCTCTCTAGTCATACCGAGTGATATAGGTATATGTAAGCATTTTTTGATAACGATTCCTGCGTGTTCAAAACTTAGAATATCTATAACTTGATATACTTGATAGGCTATGTCAGTTCCTTGAATCCACTTAAGAGCAGTAAACTGTGAACTAATACGTACGTTTACTTTTAAAATCTATTTGTCAAAGTTTTGATTTACAAGGATAAATTTACGTAAGTAACTAGCTTTTTTCATTGCCTAGATTAAACAGTCTTCATCACTTAATTGATAAAAGTAAATATTGCATCGTCTTAAATTTTACGTAAGCTCTGGAATTATTTACAAAAATTATTACCATCCTAATAACTTTTTCAATACGTTTTTCCATAATATATGCGAGTCTTTTGCAACAAACCTAGGTAAAAAAGGTCTATTTCAGATCACTCAGTCATTTTTTTACTAGAAACTATTTAATAAGCCCAGTAATTGTCTGAAAGACACCCTAATTGTTATCAGATTAAAGTCAAGCATTTGTTTCAATTATTATCAGGCTTATGTATAGACCTTGTAAATTCTATGGTAGATTTAACAACAAGTTTACTAGATGTTGGCTTTTTTTACAACGATACCTACCTAAAACTCAGAAACTATACAAAAGAATTCACTAATTTTCTCAAAAATCTTATTACGTACTTTTTTTAGAATCTTACAAAAAAAAATTATCAATGTTTGAGAATAAGATCTCAACATATTTTTACATACTAAGAAGTTTTTTCTAAATTTAAAATACTAATACACACAGTTTTACGGACGTTTTACTTTTAATGTTTTATTTTTCCAATTTTTTAACTGCTACAACGTTAAGTTTTTTGTTCTTTTCAACCTTTTTAAACTATTGTTCCATTGTCAAAGCTCAAACTTTTTCACTTCTTTATAAGATTTTTTCGAAAATACATACATCAAATCAACTCATTGCTTATGTAACTATAATATCAATAATATTACCAGGCATAGAATGTAAAAACAAGATAGTATCTAATAATCTGTACTTCCTTTTCTAAAATATATAACATTTAACAATTTTGCATGCATTTTTTTACATTTTAACTGATAGAGGACTAAAGCAACTAAAGAAGCTTTACAGTCAAATAAGAAAATTTATTTTTTGCAGCTTACCAAAGAAGAAGAAAATAACTTAAAGCATTCGATCATTAACCAATTTGAGACGGAAAGTCATCCTTTTTACTCCAGTGCTCGGTACTATTCCAGTTTTTTTGTTTTATTTAATTTTGAACATTTTATAGATGATTTTTTTATGTTCATAGGCTCTGGGATGATGCAGTAATTGATCCAATTGATACTCGGGATGTCATTGGCTTAAGTTTGGCTGCAGCTCTTAACGCACCTATACTTGAAAGTAAATTTGGAATTTATAGGATGTAAGTTGCATCATAAAAAATCCCAACTGTTGACATCTTGCTTCTGAACAGATATCGGAAACTTTTGCTTTCTTTTATCAAACGTCCTTTAAGTGTGTAATATGGTTACGAATAATGGTGCAAATGCGTAAAAGACAGAACTTGAAATTGTAAAAAATAAAAATTTTTTATGACATGATTGTACTACTTATAGCTTATTGAACGTTATCCATTAAAACTTATTTCTTCTCGAAATGGCCTTCGTTATAAATATTTCTCTACTGCATTCACTTCCTTATCTGCTTATTTTACGTTAAATGTAACTTAGCCCAGTTATTTGATGTACTGAATCAAAACCCTGTAACCATATATGGCACATAATTCATTGCTAGAAATACTCACACAAATTTTGATGATTCATGGGGTGATAAACAAAGGAACCCAAGAATGAAATATCATTGCAAGTAACTACATTAGAGCTTTAAATTTATTGAATAAACTTTTTTGGTACTCACCAATCATATAAAAAGTTCTAGAATATTTCCTATTATTCTTGTTATTTATATAGCTCAGAAGGCATTTCGTAACATTACGCTAATAAAGTACAATTCAGTATTTTACATAATTGATTTAAAAATCTGATGACATGTTTACGATATTCTAAGCCATTGTTTGATTTATCAAAATATGCAACGAAATAATAAGAGGTTTGTTACTGTGCCTCTTTAATTCTTGTTTACACAAGTATAACTTTAGTTTATTTTTTACTTTGTACTGTCACATGAATATGTAAATCGTTACAGAATGCTATTAGTACTAGAAGTTATAGTTACTACGTTATGTGAGTAAAATTCATACAATATTATTATAAATATTGTCAACATCATGTTAATTATATCGACTGATAAAGACTCAAAGTAAATCTTTCATAACACTTTGTTAATTTTAGCGCATATAATATTACGTCGTCCTACGCCTACTTATCTGAGTTTTCTCCAATTTGCAAAAGTCAATCGATTTCTTTGTCTTTTTTTTTTTTTGATTTGCGAACATTTAAAGCAATCGACAGCAATTTTTATCGCAACGTATTTTTCTAATGTTAATTTAGTGGACGACTTCATTACCATATCCATTGGATGAGCCACGAACTAAAAAAAAAAAAAAAAAAACATTAGTAAGTTACAGTATACTCTGTATTAGGCTAAAAATAAAAAAAATAAGGGAATCACAAGAATGTTACGAGTTTAATACCAGATAGATTGGTGTTGGAATATGTATACGTGCTTTAAATTATAAATCTTATTGTACAGTTGCAAAACAAATAAATCTTTCAAACTGCTGCTATCAGAGATCTATTTTCTTAAGAAGTTATTGAAGTCTTAGCTTTTGCATTGCATTTTAATAGTCTTAAAACACAAAAAACAGGATCTCGTTTTTCTCTTATTATTATACTACTACGAGAACCAGGTAAAGTGTCACACTTTACATGGAATTTCTCATGTAATTTTTATCATGGCCAATTTTATCATTTTTCTATAACGACAGCTTAGGCCTTTAAAATTAAGTATCACATGAGTATTCCACGAGTGCAAGATATTCTGTAACAAACACAATCTTTGTCTTCGCTACCAAGTTATTTTTAGAAGAGACATTCTGCTAGAACGTTTCTTCTCTTTCATCTCCATTTCTTAGGATTTTTAATAAAATTGTGTTGTGATTAAGAATATTATTTTTTAGTTAATAAGGAACTAATAAACGATAACTTTAGGACCAATACGTGGACATAACTATATTTTAATGTTGCATTTCAAAAAAATGTACTAAGAAATACAAGAAAAAAGGAAAGTTATCCTCTCCGGATATGAATCAGGCACACATTCTCCTGTTTTCTAGACAGTTGCTCTATCACTTGAGTTACTGAGGGGCCGGACGTTCACTGCCATTATATGTTTAGATCAATTCTTATTCCTTATTTTTGAGCTGTTTTTCTGGAAGCTCAATTTAAAATAGGTTCATTGAAAAATGACTTTTATATTTGCAGAGAAGTTAAAAATGTTATATAAATTCAAAAGATCGGTGGTTTTAAAAGTGCTTACATAAAGATGTTGCCATCTACATGTGCACCAATTGATACGATGATAATTATTAAAAATTGCTTGTATATCTCTCAAACTTATATAAAATGTGTAACTTATTAACAACCACTAGAATCATTTTCCAACAAAACTATTTCAAATGAAGCTTCAGGTAAAATAGCTCAAAAATTAAGAATAAGACTTTATCGAAACCTACGGTGGCAATGAACGTGCGGCTCCTCAGTAACTCAAGCGATAGAGCAACTGTCTGGAAAACAGGAGGATGTGTGCCTGATCCACATCTAGAGAGAATATTTTTTCCTCTCTCTTGTATTTCTTACTAAATTTTCTTGAAATACAATATTAAAACACAATTCTGTCTACTTATTGGTCCTTAAGTGAACATTCATCAATTCTTAATTTAAAGTTAACTAGGACAAAAACTATAATTTAACTAAATAACAACTATTTTTTATTGTGTTTCGATCAATGTTTGAGAATAAGATCTCAACATATTTTTACATACTAAGAAGTTTTTTCTAAATTTAAAATACTAATACACACAGTTTTACGGACGTTTTACTTTTAATGTTTTATTTTTCCAATTTTTTAACTGCTACAACGTTAAGTTTTTTGTTCTTTTCANTCAGCATCAGTATAGGACCCACATAGTCTTATGTATGGGGTTAAATAAGTCCTTGGATGTTGCTGTCGATTTATTTAAAAACCAGTTGCGTTTTAAATACCTATTTACGAAGTGTATTTATTTGAAGGCTTTATTGTAAGTGAGTACATATATCCTTGGTACAGTAAGGCACATTTTTACATTATATTTGTTAAATATTACACGTTAAATATCACATTATGGCTTAAACATTACTTAATTTGCTTTTGTAGTTAGTTGGTACGGTGATGATGTCACATAGACCACCTTGAGAGCAAAGGATCTATGTGGTAGGAAATATTTGCTGCAAGAAGATCACCCATCCCTTCACGAGGAGCATTGCGTGGTGAAGAAGCATATGTAAAATTCCCACAGGTACTTTCTGGGGAGAGTCGCACTGGCCACGGATTGAACTCGCAGTATCCCGCGTGCCGTCCCACACACCAGCCAGCCGAGCCACCGTCCGCTCACCAATACATATATGCATATATATAATCCAATACGTTTACTATTTTTTGACGTATTCGTGGTCTTATTAAAATATAAGCTGCTTTCGCTTAAACTGTAGGCAATAAGAAAATTTAATTTTTTTTTTCTTTCAATTCCTAAGACTGTATATTGAAAAAATAAAATGTATGTCATGGTTCTCAAGTGTCACTTATTGTTGTTTGCAATGTACATGGGTTATTTAATGAGCACTGGAATATTTTATGCGTTGTAATGAAAAAACCCTGCCAATGGGTATTTCATTTTTTTAAATATTTTTTTTTGTAATTAAATGAGCCAAAATCTAGATTAAATGAGCTGAAATGTTTCCAGTCCTGCTAAATCTGCAGAAAAAAAAATTTTATGACTTTCTTATTTTATTTGACAAAATGGAAGCGTTACGAGTTTCAATAAAATCTTACTATAATCGAGATAAAGGTGCTATAAATAAAAATTTGACATTATTTATAAATCTTTATCATAAACTTACCATTTGCATAATTACACTATCCGAGTTAATGGCCCAAGATTAAACAAAAATTCAAATCGTTACGAAATGGCGTTACGGACTCCTAGTAAAAATCAGCATTATGGACTCTTATACAATTATTGAACTATCCATTATGTGGTGCTCCACATATAAAAGAAATGTTGCCCTTGCACTTTTATTGTGTACAAAATCAATTTATTTTAACTCATCAACTTCTGAGTTGATCACCAAATGACTTGTAGTTTTGAAAGTTACGTGGCATTCTTCAGCGTTACGGGCTGCTATTTTTATTTGGTGGAAAATAAATTAATAAACTCGTGAGTCTATCGCAATTTTTCATCCTGATGGTAGAACCAAAAAAATTTAGGCAATTTCCCTAATTTCGTTGAATGCACAACATAAAACTTCTTACACCGAAATTTAAGATTTTGGTCCCGCAACTTAAATACTGTCCAAGTCTAGAATATAGTTTTTTTATTTTTTAGATGCATGAAAACGCTGTTAACATGAAAAACTTTAAGATTCTCTGCCATAGAAAATTGAAAAAATTTGTATTTTGATTCCAAGTGTCGTAAAAACTCTAAATTAACGAGTAAAACACGAGTTTTTATTGCCAATTAAGCCCCCTTTTTTCATTCCAAATTTAAGAAATAACCCTTTTATGATCCGGATTTGGTTCTATTATAGAAGCACATTTCTGTTAAATAATTAAATAAGTTTTAAGATTTAGATCTCCTTACACGATGTTGTAATCAACTGATACACACATAAGACTGTATCTTGTGGAATGGCCCAAACGTGTTATTCACCTATACATTTACAGATACAATTGTATTTAAAATATACTATTTTTTTTTTTTTGTGTATTCACATGACAACGAATTTTGAAAATAACAGTTTAATCTATTGCAAAAAACTATTTGATGCAGATTATATTATGTCTAATAGTGCCATATCATTTCAATGAAATGACCAGATTCAAATTTTTTTTCAAAATCACCGAAGCTACGGCTTTTGCTTCTATCCAGTTATTCCCAATTACCCTCAGTAAAATCTTTTACTCATCATGCATGAGAATTATTTTCTTATTTAAGTATTTGACAGTCTTATCATTGGCGATGCAGGCCATTTTCACAACAATGCTACCAAAATATATTTCTAAAAAGCAGAAGGGTTTTGTCACACACATGCTTCTTAAAACTAAGAAAAACAACATGTCTCCATCAAAAATACTAACAAAAAATTATTCTTCATACAGAAGGTTAATGAAGCCTTTTTTGTAAAAGGTATTACACCCTTGACTTCACTTTACGTATAATTAAACATTGATGCGGAAATGTAACTGTTTTCTACTGAGAATATTAGCTTTTTTCTGGGCTAGATGTCTAAGATACAGAAAAAAGTTTTGAATAGTCAGAAAAAAAGCATCTATGAATAAAAAGTAAAGTCTGCTGTTTGTATTATTGTTTGTAAAAGGTATT